TCCCATCAAACTTCAAGCACGCAGCGGCAACTCCAGCCCGTCACGCGATTCCACCCGGCCGGGTCCCCAATTCAGCACGCACGCACGCTCCGTGACAGCTCTGACAGGAAGAAATCCCCCAACCAGAGATCCGGTGCCATGCCATGCATGCAGGATCGCAGGAAGACGCAGTGTCTTCTATTGCGATAGGATTAGACCGCAAAACAACAGGCAGCGGCATCTCTATCCGGACATTTAGGCCCAAGCCCACTTAGCGACTGACTCCCAACATCCCATACATCCATCCAAAGAAATCTAGGTTGGAGAATGGAACAGGAAAAAAAAAGGGTTTCGAAACATTGGAACCCAAAAATGCACAGACGTCTTCGTGCCCAACACTTGACAGAACCAAGAACTACAAAGCCCCAAGGTCCCTGCCGGTATGGGTGTTGCGAGATGCGCCCGACACTGTGTACATGTCAAAAGTCATGTCATCCCACCACTGCTTTCTTGCTTCTTGCGCAAACCCCACAATGTTTAATGAAACTCGAAACGCACCGCGTCGAGGAAACAAGACGGTCGAGATTGGAAGGAAATGCATGAATTTCACCCGTTGATCACCACGAGGGACAATGGCAACTGTAAACAAAAGACCGGACGAACACCAAATGGTCAGGTTACTCCGGCCAAGTTCAGAACTCTGGGGTAAACACCAACTACTGGCGTGGCAAGTACATCCTTTGCAACCAGCAGACATGCCGCCGCATTGCACATCTCTAGGATTTGGTTTCGCTTTCCGCAGAAGAAAAAGGCAAAATGATCTGCTAGGCCGCAGTAGTCGGTCGCATCTGGCTGGGCATTTCCGTGGCGTGGGAGAAAAGAGCGATCTCTCAGGAGAAAAGAAGCTTATTTCCCCCATCGAACTCGATTGACTTGCAGATTTGCAATCGCCAATGTTGCCAATATGCTCCTAGGCGTCTTGGCTGCTCCGAGTCTCCCGACGGTGGTGCAACAGTCGGTTGGCTGTCATGGTTTCGTCGCAGCCGTCCGCAGGGAGGCAAGAAGGCGGACAAGATGCGATGATGGTGACTGCGTAGGAAAAAGTGTTGATGAAAGGAGGGAAGACGATGAAGTGTCGTCGCAAAATGACCCCTTCAAGCCAGACGCCGAGCCGACGCCTGCCGCTCACTAACAGCAAGCTAAGTGCTGAAGATGCTATTTTCCCCTTGCGCGCTGTTGCCCTGGGGAAGCCAAGAAAGGGCCAAGACAACAAAAGGGGCCTGGCTTGAGTCAACAGATAAACAAATCAACACAGGCAAACCTGCACAGCAAATAAACACCTCTCACACGCTCCGAGAGTCCAACCGATCTCTAGCGGGTAGTCACCTGCATGACACTGACACTCAATAATTACACTGGGTGCCCACACTGTCCACAGCGTGAAGCGTCCCGGGACCTGCGGTGTCTGTCGAGAACGGTGCGTAGGTGATCGCAATTAGTGTCCGCAGCGGTCATCCCCCAAGATGACTGAGTTAATCCGCTTCCAAGCTTGCTTCTAGAAGGGCGGAAGCACGAGGAAGACGGCGGAGGAGGCGGACGGGCGGATGGGTTCTGCTTGCATCGCTGTCGTCGCCTGTGGAGAAAAACACTTGACCAATACGCAGTTTTCAATCGAAGTCCATCTGGGCCGTATGGGCGACGGTCGCATACGGTACCGGGAAGGCGCCGGGAGGAGCTGGCTGCATCTCTGGGTACTGGCGCCATCTTGATGTCTGGTCTCTGGATTGCCGCGGCTCGGTCGCTGCAAGATGGAGACTCCAATCAAAATGCCAGATCCATTGCATCCCATCCGTCCAACGCGAGCAAAGCATTCGGCTCCGTACCGCCCTAAAGTGCAAGGTCGGCTCGAAGTGTGGAACATCGGACAGGACTTGCGTGCCAATGGCCTTCCTTCCGTCGAGCGCTACCTCACCGATAGCTGGACGGAGACTTTCCGGGCTTCACTCCCCCAAGGTACGAATACCTCACGGGGTAATATGGGCCAGGCCATCCTCACGATGGGTCCCAACACCGACCGCAAGAGGGAAACCGCGGCACACAAACCGGCCCTATTCCCGGCAGGGAGCAAGAGCTCAGTGCCCACTGACTCGTCCCCTTTCTCGTGCCTTCTCACGGTACGGGGCGGGCGGGATCCCATAAGCCATGCTCCATAGCGACGAACCACAGCAAGATACGGCCCGTAATCGTTAGCCAACGGCAACTCCACGCTGTGAATGTGAATCCTCACCGCTTGATGACGATGTGCCGTATGGAATGTCACCTGGTAACTCCCGGTGCCGTCGCCTCTCGTAAGACAAATCCGGCCCCATCCCAGCCTCGCCTGGGCTGCCCTGCACCGCTGGTCTGTCTGAGCGTGCAAGATCCCGCTAGAAATCCAACGTTGGATGTCCATCTTGGCTATCGAGTCCCGAGTAAATCACATCGACAAAGAATTTCGTTGTCAAGAAACTGTAAACAGGCTTCTTGACCGGGTTTCACTTTCATTGGTGTGTTTCAGGAGCTTGCCTGGCTTGCTCCCCGAAGCTGTCGGTGGTGAGCTGTGCCGTACGCGTGTGGCGCGCATGCGACCTTGCAGGCCGCAGTCAGCCGCCTCGATGCGATGCTGTGCTGCGCGCGTCGTCCTCGACGTTCCATCGCCAAGTAGCGTAGCGAGTCGAGCCGACGAGTCGAGTTGCGCCGTTTTTCCAACGACGGCACAACGTTAGCGGCCGACTCAGAGACTCTAGCAGCATTCCAATTTTTCCTTCCGGAAAGATTCGAAGCGTCTTGGCCGCAGCTGCAGCTAAATTGTCAATTCAGGTACGGTGCAGCGCGTGCTTGGAATGTCTCCATTCAGACTTGATTGCTTGTTGTAGTCAGACGGAGACTCAATCTCGAATTTTGGCTCAACAGCAGTCCACTTCCACACCCCTCCAGGCAGCCCTGCGACGACCTATGACGTCCATCGTGGAGGCATCAGACGCATTGAGCAATTTCAATCGGACGAGATGAAGCGACGTGTCGGCAGACTGGGAGGATCGCCCCTTCTTCTCGTTAAGAGAAATCGAAATTTGACTCCAGACCCAATCGAGCCCTATCAGGTTACGCGCCGGTTCCGTGGTGACTGATGTAAACAAACGCGATGGTATCCATTTCACCCACAGGTTAATGTCCGAAGATGCCAGGGTTCATGGGCGCAAAGACGGTGACATGATGCAAATGAGGAAGCATGCCAACCGTGCCCCCCAATGACAGCACAGTCTGGCACCAGCGATTTAACCCTTTTCGCTTTAAGCGCTTCAAAAGCGTGCCGTATCCGTTGATAATTCAATCCAACAAGAGTAGAGAAGCTGCTGCGTTGATGGGGGATGATCTTGATCCAAGACTTCCCAAGTCCAATATTGACATTATCGATTCTAAGGTTGCTCCGCTGCTCCTCAGCCCATGGTTCTCCACCGACGAGCCCACGTCCGGAGGTGGACGGGGGGATGGATACTGGATCACCTCATCACCCACAAGAATCCAGGTGAACGCTGTAAAAGCTGGGTTCAACCCCAGCGGTCGCGCCCAGAAGACCCTGCTGGACGGCGGCATTCAGTGTGCCGTGCGCTGGGGAAGACGGCGTCGCCTGTAACCATGGCCGATAGTCTGGCAACTGGATCGGGATTCGTGGCGTGGCGGGACCGAGCCTTTATCGTGACTAGTCCCTGCGTGTCATTACGTGCAAATGTGCACCAGCAATGCACAAGAGTAAACGAGATCACTGAGGGGCCCGAGTCCTAGAGGCCAGTTGTGCAACGACGATAGGGGTGCTGATCGCATTCACGAGAAGCAGACCGTCTCGCACGCCATTGTTGGAGGTTGGCGATTGAGCATCGCCAAGTCGCCGGCCAAGAATTCGAGGATCAGTTCTTCCCTCGTAAATGGCATCAGTGCGTTTAGATGGCCACAGATTGTTTTGGGGTATTTCTCGCTCAATCCCCTCATTCCCCCACGGTTGAGCGGAAGTTTGCGGATGGGACTCGATAGCCAAGAAGGATCATCTATACTTGGAAATGGCCGTGTCTTAGAAACTTGCAAACGAGGCGGTCGTGAGTTGGAAAAAGGCGCATATCAGAATGCGGAAGAGGCTGTCATCGTGGGCGGCCAAGACTTGTAAAGAGACGATTCGTTACAGGCCCCGACCTTCTCCAACTTCACTAGAGCCGACTGACTCGGAATGGGGGTCATGTAGACCCGAATGACGGCCGAATGAGGCTTCGACCGGCAGGCTCACAGCAGCAAGCGCGGGAGAATCAGGGCCGTCAAATCCCCGCACTCTACAGGATGCGGGAGCCGAGGCACAGTGCAGCCAGGGCGATTCGAGGGACGAAATCGGGGGGAACAAGCAGCCGGGGGCGTTTCCGACCTGTGGTGGTGGGTAGTGGTGCAGCGGTACAGTGGTGTGCCCCAGGCGGCCAAGACCAGGTGTGTGGACGATATGCAAATCATCCAATCCGGCTGCAAGATTTGAAATGGCTCATCTCTGCCGGCTCAGGCGCTGCGTGCTTCATTGCTAAGAACGGAGATGTGGGAGAGCACAATGACGGCGGTGAGAAAGCGCCGAGAGTCTCCACGAGTCCACGAGGACAATTGCGAGGTAAGGCGAGCGAAGGCGAGAAATCTCCAGGCTCCAGCTGTCCAGGTTCGCAGCAGGTTACCGCCGTTGGATTCTGGAGAACCAGACAGGCCTGGCGAGAACACAAGGGCTCAATGTAGGCCCGGGCGTCGTCCGTGGCCACACGGCAAGGCATGGCAGGCTGGGATAGTGGAAGTAGCCGTGTGTAACGAGAGAGGCGTATCCGTAATTCGTGCCAGTCTCTCGGTGAGCTGTTCCAGTGTCGGCGAATTTGTTCAAAGCTAGGAGTCCCCATCGAAGTGGCTGTCAACCGGATGAGTAAACGGGCAGGCGGCTCGGTAGTTCCAGCGCCTGCGAAGGCAAAATGGCCAAGCAGACCGAGGACGAGCGTGGAAGACTGGATCCCCCGGCCTCCACAACGGCGAGACCGAAGGCTGACCGACACGGCTCCGATCACAAGGTTGGCGAGAACTGGTTCCTGGAGATGCGCGCCTCGTACGGAGATAGTTCAAGCGTCGATCGGGTGGAATTCCCAGAAAGCTTAGGTCAGCTGTGTGGTTCGCGAGGCGAGGCAAGAGGCGTTTGTTAGTCACGCTGCCATTGTTTAGTGGTGGGTGCGAAAGCGACCTGTCAAGTGGTGCGGATCGGCCGGAGCGGCGACGGCTGACTGAGTAAGAGAGAGGTTAGGAATTGAAAGCCCTTGTCGGGATGACGTAGGGGCGCGAAACCCTTCCTGATGGACGAGGCTCGGAGAAGGGATTGGGGCCATCGGTGCGATTCCGACTCGGCATATCTGCTGGTTCGTGATCCAATTCTGAGTTGGGCATGCCAGCTCAGCAAAGCACAGGGCAAGGCAGAACGTCTGGCCGGGATCCATTTCTATACTCAGTACAATGGAGGCGTCGGTATTCGGTAGTGCCACAGGTACGGATACACAAGGCCCATGTTTTTCTTGCCTGACGAGCGATAAGCTGGAGCTCGAGGTGGAAAATCTGCGAGGGTTTTTTCCGCAAACAATGGGGGACCCTGTATGCATGCGAGGTGCGGTGAACAGTGGGTAACCGTCCCGTAGCGCGTGCCTGATAGTCGAGAACACAACGTGGATAATGTGTATTAGCTCGCTGAGGTTATTCTCCGCCGGTCCAGATGGCGGCGGATGGTCTATGGACGAGGCCGAGCATCGAGAACAATTCGATACGTGCCATTACGGCTTCAACTGCCTCCTGGAGAGTGTCTTTGAGAGGCATTTTTGGGGTAGCTGCTGCACTTGCTGCAGGACCTAGCCAATGCCGAGAGTCGAATCCCACGTTTCCCCGGGCTGGAGAAGCACCCAGACCAGAGTCGCGCAGCAGGACGAGACCGCGTCGAGTCTTGGCCTTGGGGAAAGCGACGTCGTGGGCATCCCGAGCCTGTCAGGTCATCGTCCTGGCCCATCCACAGCGGGGCGGGCTGGGCGAAAGCTCGGTTTCTCGTTCGCCGGGATCGATGTTAGATGGGCCAGCGGAAGGGATTAGAGGTGGGCGGGCGAGATGGTGGGGATGGCAGCTTTCCGCTTGAGGGGAATACTGGACGGATACGCAGTATGCAGCAGGGTAGGTAGTGTACCTGACCTTCTCTGCCAGCCTCCAACTCCATCATCTCCATGGAGGACAGGGTCTCGGATTGGGGATTTGGGGAAGACCAACAGGGCCTCGGCGATGGACGCGGCTGGCACGTCGTGGCAGGACGAGAGAGGCTTGGGGCCGATAGTGGGATTTGAGGTCGGTGTCGTCGTTCGTGTCGTTCGTACACCGCGGTAGGTATCCGCAGACTGGGGGAGGTCTGTCGAACGACAGGCAACGGTTGTGTGTGGGCGTGAATTGTGGATGGCCCGACTTGATGGATTGACCTGAGCGAGGAGCGGGATGTGTTAGCGGCGACAGCGGTGCTGGCGGCGATTGCCCTAGCACAAAAGCAGACAAGACCAAGTCGTTGCGGAATAGCCGCCCCAAGAGCCTAATGCTAATGCATTTTGCAAGACTGGTGCAGGTGCAGTAGGGCGGGTTTGATAGTGGCGGTTGCCGGTAGCTTCCACCCGCAAGGTAAGGAAGGCCGCCCTTGTGTAGGTTGCTCATGAGGGCACCCACAAGACGGGCACGGGTAGTGCGCGATCTGTCACTGTACGTAACGTCGAGACATCAGAAACATCCGTAGGTGCAGGAATCGAAATGCACGCATGTCCGGAGTGCCTCGCATAGCGCTCTTTTTGTCATTCGTCAGTCTTGTAGTGAGGCGCAATGCAGCCTACGGAGGAAGAAGACACTCCCGTCCACGTCTACCGCCCAAGGGATGGCCGAGGTGCCGAATTCAGTATACGGAACGTCTGTGGTTGGACAATGAATGCCGTTCATCGGCTGCTGCTGCTGCAGAACCAGAGGAAGAATTCCGTCAGTTGAGAAAGAAATAATCCATCCGGACATCCAAATGACAGACCAATGAACGACACAGTACGTATCGTCCAACACAGGCCGCCTTACCCGTAGCTGTTAGCCAGCAGGGCGGCCACTGGCCAGTCTCATTCGAGCCAAGACTCAGGAATTGGACAGAAAATGGCGCTCCGACAGTGCGGATACGGTGCACGGTGGTGGAAAAGTTTGAAAGGGCCGTTTCCTGATAAGAGACGGGACGATTGGCAGGTTTCGATTGATTGGGGGTTCGCATTCGCAGGGCGCTGGGCAAGCCAAAGGGAAAAAAAAAAAGCTGGGCATCCGGCAGGGTTGATGACGGTCGCCTTCGACTCCCAACTCCCATCTTCCCAGCCACCCCAAAGAAAGCCTGTTGTCAAAGCTCAATCACGAGCAGCCAGGGCCCCGGAGTGGTCGACGCTCATGACTGGCAGCGACTCTTGGAGAGCCAAAAGCTTGTTGTGATCCACTTTCCTGGAGTCATGGACAACGACAGCGACGACGACAACGATGGGAAGATGTCGTCTGGACCGTGCTGCTGTCCTATCCTTGAAACTGTGTGGATGCCGTAATATCCCATGTCGAAAGATGTCCAGGGAAGATACGTACTTCAATTTTTTCACAACTTGCACTAGTAGCCGTGTTAGTCTGAGACGACAGAATGGCACGCGGCGTGTAGTCCGCGATGCGTGTGTGTGGTGACTGACTGAAGAAAACAGCGACTGCAGTCCAAAATCTCCATCCACAAAATCCCGGGCGGGACAAGCCTCGTGGGAGCCAGAATGCGCCAATTGGCGTCGCATTGTTTCAATTGAACCGGGTGAGGCACTTAATGACCGTTGGATAGAGACATGGACCGTTGCTGTGCTGATGCTGACCGCCTTCCGTCCGCCCATCGGTTGTCACTGTTATTGTCGTCGTCGTTGTCGACCTGGTCATGTTCCGTCAACCCATGAAACCGTCCAACCAGCCACCCATCGCGGGCGTCAAAGCTCACGGCAGCGGTGCGGTTCCATTCGGGCGGCAAGGGACAGAGTCGGAGGCAAGCTGATGACAGCCATCAGCCGTGGGCGGCGCACGATCCAACGACTTGAGACGAGACGAGGCCGACGACAAAAACTCCACGGTGCAAGGCCTGCGATTGGGAGCAGTGTCGTCATTTGCAGCCACGGTGCAAAAATCGCGCAAGCTGGCCTTCGTCTTCCTACCGGCTGACCTTCGTACCCTTACAGGCGAGCGACAGGCTGCGCAGGCGGCAGAATGTGCCCGTGTGCCTGGGCAGTCCCGGAGACCCCAGGAAGGGAAACAACGCGGAAAGGCCGCCTCGAAGGCGAGTGAAGGATGGTAAGGACGACGGCAAAGACAAAAAAAAAAAAAAAAAAGACGCAGTAAAAATCGAGCAATCCCGCGGCAGGGCAGAGGCTAGGCAGTCTGGTGTAGAGGTACGGAGAACAGGATGTCAACAGGTACGTACGATGGAAGAAGAGCTTACCTCAAAATTACCTACAAATTGGTGTTTAACCTTCACTGCTTCTTGGTAGTCAGACCTGGACAAGGTACCGCCGAAACCAGGTAGTGCTGCGTAAGGTGTACGTACCTCTGGCGTTTTACCTCACCCACGCTCACCTTGCCCAGTCGGCGACTCCACAAGCTCGAGGTGAGGAAAGGAACAGCAGCCGCGGGCACACACTTGCTGGCCGGCTGCTCCCCACGAGTGATGAGCGAGGTATCACCGACAGTCAGCGAGCCAGTCACAAGCCTCGGGACTGTGGGGGTTGCGGCGTCGTGGGCGAGACGGGTGACTGAGCAAAGAAGAAGAAAAACCAAAAAAAAACCGATACGTAGCCTTGGTCGTGTTAGTGCGGCGAGAAGCCGGTTCGCCCAGTAGAAGAGCATCCATACCTCTTAGGAGGGGAAAAAAAAAAAAAAAAGTGAATGAGGGACCACCTTCCCACTTCAAGCACACGGCGACTCCACCTGTGCTCCCACTGAGCCCAGGTACCTACCGCTGTACTGCATAGTACCTTACCTCTCCCCCCATGCTCTCAGTGACATTGTCCAATGAGCGGTGTTTCTTCCGCTGGGAAACCTGCACCTCACCTGGTCCTGGGAACTCTGGCCCGGCGAGTCCATATGGGGCGCTGTACTTTGTTTACTCGCGAGATTACCTTGTCCATCCCGCCAGCCGCACTGTGATGCACACTGACCGGCTTGCAAGTGTGTGCGCGCAAGGGTCCCCAAGGAAAAACAGGCCGTCTGGGTGTTTGCATGGCCCTGCCGACCGCTGGGACTGGGAGCTTTGCCCCAAATGTGCCATCCCATCCGCGTAACCGCAGGGGAATCAGCACGGAAAAAATCCCAAGCACCCTCAAGCTCTGGCGCAAGATGACGGCGTTGTTGGCCCGTGGGTGCTAAGCTTGAGGCGCTGCTCCCTCGCTCACTCATCGTTCGTCGTCACCTCCACCGCCCGCTGCTTCAGCTGGCCCGTAACTAGATGGTTTTCCGCAGTATCTGTCATTCTCATCGGGCAGGCTGTTTGCGGCCTTGACGGTTCTTCTAACGGGAAAAATCCGCCGCCATAGCCAAGCCGGAGATACCCTCAGACACTTACAGCGAAGGGAAAAAATATCTTGCTTCGTCGTCTCGTACAAACAGGTCCGTCGTCTCAAACTTCAATCCGTACTGTATTGCAAGCTTGTACCTGGCACCCCCAGGCCATTGTATCCTAATACATTTTCATAGTTTAACTAGGTTCGTTCAAAGAGGTTTCTCTCGCGCTCATCATCAATCAATCCTTCCCTCGTCTGGATGACTGACTGGGCCCCCAGGCGAGGTCAGATCCTGACTGGTCTGGCCAGTCTTGGGTCCTGGGTCCTGCTCAGTCGAATGCTGTCCCTGCCGCGTTGTGCCCGCCGCTGATGGATATCGCGTACCGTGAACCGACCAGGGCGTGTAGCTTCTCCAGCTTCATTTGCCTTCTCCGCGACCTGGCCAACAGGTACCTGCCTACTTTACCTTGTCTGGAGGTGGAGCCTTTATCGTGGACCTGGACCTTACCTCACCTTCCCTGCACCTTTTGTTTCTTCTCCCCTACGGAGGACGTTGCCATGCTGCTACCGTTGCGTTGCTGCCATTGACCTTCCTTACCTTACGGCGCGCGTGTT